CACGCTAAGCACACGCAACAACAACACGATTAACACAGTTCACACACGCTAAGCACACGCAACAACACCACGATTAACACAGTTCACACACGCTAAGCACACGCAACAACACGATTAACACAGTTCACACACGCTAAGCACACGCAACAACAACAACATGATTAACACACTTCACACACGCTAAGCACACGCAACAACAACATGATTAACACAGTTCACACACGCTAAGCACACGCAACAACAGCATGATTAACACAGTTCACACACGCTAAGCACACGCAACAACAGCATGATTAACACAGTTCACACACGCTAAGCACACGCAACAACACGATTAACACACTTCACACACGCTAAGCACACGCAACAACAACAACACGATTAACACACTTCACACACGCTAAGCACACGCAACAACAACACGATTAACACACTTCACACACGCTAAGCACACGCAACAACAACACACAGCACGATTAACACAGTTCACACACGCTAAGCACACGCAACAACAACACGATTAACACAGTTCACACACGCTAAGCACACGCAACAACAACAACATGATTAACACACTTCACACACGCTAAGCACACGCAACAACAACATGATTAACACAGTTCACACACGCTAAGCACACGCAACAACAGCATGATTAACACAGTTCACACACGCTAAGCACACGCAACAACAGCATGATTAACACAGTTCACACACGCTAAGCACACGCAACAACAGCATGATTAACACAGTTCACACACGCTAAGCACACGCAACAACAACAACACGATTAACACAGTTCACACACGCTAAGCACACGCAACAACAACAACATGATTAACACACTTCACACACGCTAAGCACACGCAACAACAACACGATTAACACACTTCACACACGCTAAGCACACGCAACAACAACAACACGATTAACACAGTTCACATACGCTAAGCACACGCAACAACAACACGATTAACACAGTTCACACACGCTAAGCACATGCAACAACAACAACAACAACAACAACACGATTAACACAGTTAACACACGCTAAGCACACGCAACAACAACACACAGCATGATTAACACAGTTCACACACGCTAAGCACACGCAACAACAACAACACGATTAACACACTTCACACACGCTAAGCACACGCAACAACAACAACACGATTAACACGGTTCACACACGCTAAGCACACGCAACAACAACACGATTAACACAGTTCACACACGCTAAGCACATGCAACAACAACAACACGATTAACACAGTTAACACACGCTAAGCACACGCAACAACAACACACAGCATGATTAACACAGTTCACACACGCTAAGCACACGCAACAACAACAACACGATTAACACAGTTCACACACGCTAAGCACACGCAACAACAACAACACGATTAACACGGTTCACACACGCTAAGCACACGCAACAACAACACGCAGCATGATTAACACAGTTCACACACGCTAAGCACACATAACAACAGCATGATTAACACAGTTCACACACGCTAAGCACACATAACAACAGCATGATTAACACAGTTCACACATGCTATGCACACGCAACAACACGCACACAACCACGTGGTTGTCCATCTGACACAACACGCATGTACCATGGTGGTGGTTGTTGTTGTGTGTAGTGTAGTGTGTAGTGTAGTGTGTAGTGTGTATAGTGTAGTGTGTAGTGTATAGTGTAGTGTGTAGTGTAGTGTGTAGTGTATAGTGTAGTGTAGTGTATAGTGTAGTGTAGTGTGTAGTGTAGTGTGTAGTGTAGTGTATAGTGTAGTGTATAGTGTAGTGTATAGTGTAGTGTATAGTAGTGTATAGTAGTGTAGTGTATAATGTAGTGTATAGTGTAGTGTATAGTGTAGTGTATAGTGTAGTGTATAGTAGTGTAGTGTATAATGTAGTGTATAGTGTAGTGTGTAGTGTAGTGTATAGTAGTGTATAGTGTAGTGTATAGTGTAGTGTAGTGTGTAGTGTAGTGTGTAGTGTATAGCGTAGTGTAGTGTGTAGTGTAGTGTATAGTGTAGTGTGTAGTGTAGTGTAGTGTATAGTGTAGTGTATAGTGTAGTGTAGTGTATAGTGTAGTGTGTAGTGTAGTGTGTAGTGTAGTGTGTAGTGTAGTGTGTAGTGTAGTGTGTAGTGTAGTGTATAGTGTAGTGTGTAGTGTAGTGTGTAGTGTAGTGTAGTGAATAGTGTAGTGTATAGTGTAGTGTAGTGAATAGTGTAGTGTATAGTGTAGTGTATAGTGTAGTGTATAGTGTAGTGTATAGTGTAGTGTATAGTGTAGTGTATAGTATAGTGTAGTGTGTATTGTAGTGTATAGTGTAGTGTATAGTGTAGTGTATAGTGTATAGCGTAGTGTAGTGTGTAGTGTAGTGTAGTGTGTAGTGTAGTGTATAGTGTAGTGTATAGTGTAGTGTGTAGTGTATAGTGTATAGTGTAGTGTGGTGTGTAGTGTAGTGGGTAGTGTAGTGTGTAGTGTATAGTGTAGTGTGTAGTGTAGTGTGTAGTGTAGTGTGTAGTGTAGTGTATAGTGTAGTGTATAGTGTAGTGTATAGTGTAGTGTAGTGTGTAGTGTACTATAGTGTGTAGTGTAGTGTGTAGTGTAGTATAGTGTGTAGTGTAGTTTAGTGTGTAGTGTGTGTGGTTGTTGTTGTTGTTGTGTGTAGTGGTTGTTGTTGTGTTGTTGTTGTGTGTAGTGGTTGTTGTTGTTGTTGTGTGTAGTGGTTGTTGTTGTGTGTAGTGGTTGTTGTTGTTGTTGTTGTGTGTTGTTGTTGTGTGTAGTGGTTGTTGTTGTGTGTAGTGGTTGTTGTTGTTGTGTGTTGTGTGTTGTTGTTGTTGTGTGTAGTGGTTGTTGTTGTGTGTAGTGGTTGTTGTTGTTGTGTGTAGTGGTTGTTGTTGTTGTTGTGGTTGTTGGTGTTGTTGTTGTGTGTAGTGGTTGTTGGTGTTGTTGTTGTGTGTAGTGGTTGTTGTTGTTGTTGTGTGTAGTGGTTGTTGTTGTTGTTGTTGTTGTTGTGTGTAGTGTGTGTGTAGTGGTTGTTGTTGTGTGTAGTGTGTGTAGTGGTTGTTGTTGTGTGTAGTGGTTGTTGTTGTTGTGTGTAGTGGTTGTTGTTGTTGTTCTGTGTAGTGTGTGTTGTTGTGTGTAGTGGTAGTTGTGTGTAGTGTGTGTTGTTGTTGTTGTAGTTGTGTGTAGTGTGTGTGTAGTTGTTGTGTGTAGTTGTGTCACCCAGGTGGTTGTCCATCTGACACAAGACCCGTGTGGCGTGGTGGTTGTTGTTGTTGTTGGTGTTGTGTGTAGTAGTGTGTGTAGTGGTTGTTGGTGTTGTGTGTAGTTGCTGTGTGTAGTTGTTGTTGTTGTTGTGTCACCCAGGTGGTTGTCCATCTGACACAACACGCGTGTGGCGTGGTGGTTGTTGCTGTGTGTAGTGGTTGTAGTTGTTGTGTGTAGTGTGTGTGTAGTGGTTGTGTGTAGTAGTTGTTGTGTCACCCAGTTGGTTGTCCATCTGACACAAGACCCGTGTGGCGTGGTGGTTGTTGCTGTGTGTAGTGGTTGTTGTTGTTGTTGTGTGTAGTGGTTGTTGTTGTTGTGTGTAGTTGCTGTGTGTAGTTGTTGTGTGTAGTTGTGTCACCTAGGTGGTTGTCCATCTGACACAAGACCCGTGTGGCGTGGTGGTTGTTGCTGTGTGTAGTGGTTGTTGTTGTGTGTAGTGGTTGTTGTTGTTGTGTGTAGTTGCTGTGTGTTGTTGTTGTGTGTGTAGTTGTTGTGTGTAGTTGTGTCACCTAGGTGGTTGTCCATCTGACACAAGACCTGTGTGGCGTGGTGGTTGTTGTTGTTGTGTGTAGTGGTTGTTGTTGTTGTGTGTGGTTGTTGTTGTTGTGTGTAGTGGTTGTTGTTGTGTGTAGTGTGTGTGTAGTTGTGTGTAGTTGTGTCACCCAGGTGGTTGTCCATCTGACACAACACGCGTGTGGCGTGGTGATTGTTGTTGGTGTTGTTGTTGGTGTGTGTAGTGGTTGTTGTTGTTGTTGTGTGTAGTGGTTGTTGGTGTTGTTGTTGGTGTTGTTGGTGTGTGTAGTGGTTGTTGGTGTTGTTGTTGTTGTGTGTAGTGGTTGTTGTTGTGTGTAGTGGTTGTTGTTGTTGTGTGTAGTGTGTGTGTAGTGTGTGTGTAGTTGTGTGTAGTTGTGTCACCCAGGTGGTTGTCCATCTGACACAACACGCGTGTGGCGTGGTGGTTGGTGTTGTTGTTGTTGGTGTGTGTAGTGGTTGTTGTTGTTGTTGTTGTGTGTAGTGGTTGTTGGTGTTGTTGTTGGTGTTGTTGGTGTTGTTGTGTGTAGTTGTGTGTAGTTGTGTCACCCAGGTGGTTGTCCATCTGACACAAGACCCGTGTGGCGTGGTGGTTGTTGGTGTTGTTGGTGTTGTTGTTGGTGTTGTTGGTGTTGTTGTAGTTGTGTGTAGTGGTTGTTGTGTCACCCAGGTGGTTGTCCATCTGACACAACACGCGTGTGGCGTGGTGATTGTTGTTGGTGTTGTTGTGTGTAGTGTGTGTGTAGTGGTTGTGTGTAGTAGTTGTTGTGTCACCCAGGTGGTTGTCCATCTGACACAAGACCCGTGTGGCGTGGTGGTTGTTGTTGTTGTTGTTGGTGTGTGTAGTGTGTGTGTAGTTGTTGTGTGTAGTGTGTGTAGTGGTTGTTGTTGTTGTTGTTGTGTCACCTAGGTGGTTGTCCATCTGACACAAGACCCGTGTGGCGTGGTGATTGTTGTTGTTGGTGTTGGTGTGTGTAGTGTGTGTGTGTAGTTGTTGTGTGTAGTGTGTGTAGTGGTTGTTGTTGTTGTTGTTGTGTCACCTAGGTGGTTGTCCATCTGACACAAGACCCGTGTGGCGTGGTGATTGTTGTTGTTGGTGTTGGTGTGTGTAGTGTGTGTGTGTAGTTGTTGTGTGTAGTGTGTGTAGTGGTTGTTGTTGTTGTTGTGTCACCTAGGTGGTTGTCCATCTGACACAAGACCCGTGTGGCGTGGTGGTTGTTGGTGTTGGTGTTCTTCTTCTCCTCGGCTTCGCTCCTCACTGGGTCCAGGTTCCAGATCACAACCTTGCCAGAATCCTCCCCTGCGTCAACAACAACCACAACAACAATAACCACAACAACAACCACAACAACAATAACAACAACAACCACAACAACAACAATCGATTGTCTGTGTGTGTGTGTAGGTGCTGCTACTCGCTACTAGCAACACTTGCCCATACAGCCCTGCTAGAGGCTACCTGGGGGATCATTGTCTGTGTGTGTGTGTAGGTGCTGCTACTGACTACTAACTACAGCACTTGCCCCTACAGCCCTGCTAGAGGCTACCTGGGGGATCTTTGTCTGTGTGTGTGTGTGTAGGTGCTGCTACTCGCTACTAGCTACAGCAATTGCCCCTACTGCCTGCTAGAGGCTACCTGGGGGATCATTGTCTGTGTGTGTGTGTAGGTGCTGCTACTGACTACTAACTACAGCACTTGCCCCTACAGCCCTGCTAGAGGCTACCTGGGGGATCTTTGTCTGTGTGTGTGTGTGTAGGTGCTGCTACTCGCTACTAGCTACAGCAATTGCCCCTACTGCCTGCTAGAGGCTACCTGGGGGATCTTTGTCTGTGTGTGTAGGTGCTGCTACTCGCTACTAACAGCACTTGCCCCTACAGCCTGCTAGAGGCTACCTGGGGGATCTTTGTCTGTGTGTGTAGGTGCTGCTACTCGCTACTAACCACACTTGCCCCTACAGCCCTGCTAGAGGCTACCTGGGGGATCTTTGTCTGTATGTGTGTAGGGGCTGCTACTCGCTACTAACAGCACTTGCCCCTACAGCCTGCTAGATGCTACCTGGGGGACCTTTGTCTGTGTGTAGGTGCTGCTACTCGCTACTAACAGCACTTGCCCCTACAGCCTGCTAGAGGCTACCTGGGGGACCTTTGTCTGTGTGTGTAGGTGCTGCTACTCGCTACTAACAGCACTTGCCCCTACAGCCCTGCTAGAGGCTACCTGGGGGATCTTTGTCTCTCTGTGTGTGTAGGTGCTGCTACTCGCTACTAACAGCACTTGCCCCTACAGCCCTGCTAGAGGCTACCTGGGGGATCTTTGTCTGTGTGTGTAGGTGCTGCTACTCGCTACTAACAGCACTTGCCCCTACAGCCCTGCTAGAGGCTACCTGGGGGATCTTTGTCTGTAGCTGTGCGCGTGTGTGTTAGCGTGTGTGTGTTAGCGTGTATGTGTGAGAGTGTGTGTTAGCGTGTGTGAGCGTGTGTGTGAGCGTGTGTGTGTGTGTTAGCATGTGTTAGCGTGTGTGTTAGCGTGTGTTAGCATGTGTCTGTTAGCGTGTGTTAGCGTGTGTTAGCGCGCGTGCGTGTGTGAGCATGTGTGTGAGCGTGTGTGTTAGCGTGTGTGTGTGACCATGTGTGTGTGTGAGCGTGTGTGTGTTAACATGTGTGTTAGCGTGTGTGTGAGCGTGTGTGCGTGCGTGTGAGCGTGTGTGCGTGTGTGCGTGTGAGCGTGTGTTTGTGAGCGTGTGTGTGTGATAGCGTGTGTGAGCGTGTGTATGTTAGCGTGTGTGTGTGATAACGTGTGTGTGTGTTAGCGTGTGTGTGTGAGCGTGTGTGGGTGAGCGTGTGTGAGCGTGTGCGTTAGCGTGTGTGTGTGATAGCGTGTGTGTGTGAGCGTGTGTGTGTGTGAGCGTGTGTGTGTGTGTGATAGCGTGTGTGTGTGTTAGAGTGTGTATGTGAGCGTGTGTGGGTGAGCGTGTGTGTGTGTTAGCGTGTGTGTGTGAGCGTGTGTGGGTGAGCGTGTGTGTGTTAGCGTGTGTGTGTGATAGCGTGTGTGTGTGGGCGTGTGTGAGCGTGTGTGTTAGCGTGTGTGTGTGAGCGTGTGTGTGTGAGCGTGTGTGGGTGAGCGTGTGTGTGTGTGTGTGAGCGTGTGTGTGTGTGAGCGTGTGTGTGTGAGCGTGTGTGTTAGCGCGTGTGTGTGAGCGTGTGTGGGTGAGAGTGTGTGTGCGTGTTAGCGTGTGTGTAAGCGTGTGTGTGTGTGAGCATGTGTGTGTGAGCGTGTGTGTGTTAGCGTGTGTGTGTGTGAGCGCGTGTGTGTGTGTGAGCGCGTGTGTGTTAGCGTGTGTGTGTTAGCGTGTGTGTGTTAGCGTGTGTGTGTTATCGTGTGTGTGTGAGCGCGTGTGTGTGTTAGAGTGTGTGTGAGCGTGTGTGTGTGTGTGAGAGTGTGTTAGCGTGTGTGTGTATGAGCGTGTGAGTGTGTGTTAGCGTGTGTGAGCGTGTGTGGGTGAGCATGTGTGTGTGTTAGAATGTGTGTATGTAATAGCATGTGTGTGTGTGAGTGCGTGTGTGTTAGCATGTGTGTGTGATAGCGTGTGTGTGTGCGTGTGTGAGCGTGTGTGTGTGTGTGTGAGCGCGTGTGTGTGTGTGAGTGTGTGTGAGCGTGTGTGTGTGTGTTAGTGTGTTAGCATGTGTGAGCGTGTGTGTGTGTTAAGTGTGTGTGTGTGGGTGAGCGTGTGTGTGTGGGTGAGCGTGTGTGTTAGCATATGTGAGCATGTGTGTGTGATAGCGTGTGTGTGTGTGTGAGCGTGTGTGTGTGTGTTAGTGTGTTAGCGTGTGTGAGCGTGTGTGTGTGTTAGTGTGTGTGTGTGTGAGCGTGTGTGTTAGCATGTGTGAGCGTGTGTGTGTTAGTGTGTGTGAGAGTGTGTGTGTTAGTGTGTGTGAGCGTGTTAGTGTGTGTTAGTGAGTGAGAGTGTGTTAGTGTGTGTTAGTGTGTGTGTGCGTGTGTGAGTGTGTGTGTGTTAGTGTGTGTGTTAGTGTGTGTGTTAGTGTGTGTGTTAGTGTGTGTGTGTTAGTGTGTGTGTGTTAGCGTGTGTGTGTTTGTGTTAGTGTGTGTTAGTGTGTGTGTGACTGTGTGTGTCTGTGTGTGTGTTAGTGTGTTAGTGTGTGTGTGTCTGTGTGTGTGTGACTGTGTGTGTCTGTGTGTGTGTTAGTGAGTGTGTGTTAGTGTGAGCGTGTGTGTGTTAGTGTGTGTGAGCGTGTGTGTTAGTGTGTGTGTGTTAGTGTGTGTGTTAGTGTGTGTCAAAGTCTGACCTTGACCACCAGTAGCAAATTTCTGTCCATCGGGGTGAATGTCCAAGGAAAAGATTGGCTTCCCTACAAGACAACACACACACAGACAAAGATCCCCCGGGTAGCCTTTACGGACTGTAGGGGCAAGTGCTGTAGTTAGTAGCGAGTAGCAGCACCTACACACACACAGAGACAAAGATCCCCCAGGTAGCCTCTAGCAAGGCTGTAGGGGCAAGTGTTGTTAGTAGCAAGTAGCAGCACCTACACACACACAGATAAAGATCCCCCAGGTAGCTTCTAGCAGGCTGTAAGGGGCAAGTGTAGTTAGTCGCGAGTAGCAGCACCTACACACACAGACAAAGATCCACCAGACACACACATAAACACACACACGTATACAACAACACAACAACCGCCATTCGCCACTAAGTGGCGATGACGTCACCACGACGCTTGTGCCAGGCCATGTGCACCCTGAGGCCACGTGAAGTGTCGAACGCCCGCTGGCAGGAGGTCACGGGGCAGACCCAGGTGCCACGGGTCGACTGACTGAGATGACTGGCTGATGCACCACCTGTGCCCCCTACTGTGCCAACCTGCTGTGCTTTAGCCACCCGGCGCTCCGCTCGTTGTTCTGAGCGTCGCTCCTCCGCCCTCTGTTGTTGTTGGAGGGCGACTGCCTCCAACTGCCCAGTAGCATCCTTCACGAGCCTCCTCCACAGAGGCCGATCTTGACACCGCTGGTACCAGTCATCGGCAAGTCCACTCAGCTCCACGTCCTCCTGTACCACATCACTCCATCTCTTCTCTAGCCCGTGCCGCGCCCGTTTAGCCCCCTCGATCCGGACGAACAAAAGCTGTTTCGGCATGCGGTGGCTGGGCATGCGGGCTACGTGACCCAGCCATCGCAGCCTTGCCTGCCGGCGGAGCTCACCGATGGGACCTTGCCCAGATCTTTCAAGGATTTGTGAGCTCCTCACACAATCCAGTCTGGTTAAACCCAGGATGGATCATAGGCAGGCCAGCCTAAATGTTGCTGACCGGCGAAGATGTTCCATTAGGGGGGTCCACGTTTCGCAAGCGTAGAGAAGGGAGGGAATGACCGTGGCCGAGAAGACCTGAAGCTTAGTGCGGAGCGACAGACCAGGTAGCTTCCACACAGCGTTACACAACCGATGAAAAGATATTGCCGCTCGACTGATTCGGAGTGAGACCTCTGCTGTTAAACTGGAGCCAGTCATAAGCACACTGCCCAGGTATGGGAAACTCTCCACTCTCTCCACAACTGCCCCATCACCGATTGGGAGTTGTGTGGTGGTGGAGTGTCCGATGGTACAAAATACCCCGGCAGGTGCTTAGTTTTGGTGGGGCTGATGGTAAGGCCCCACCTCTTAGTGGCACGCTCCAGTCTCAGCAGCAGCGTCTCCAACTCCTCCTCTGACTGAGCAGCTATTACCAAATCATCAGCATACATAACGTGGTTGAGCAATAGGGAGCCATCCCTTGACCGCACCCGGGCATCGATTAGCCTCCCATTATATCTGTACCATATGGAGATTCCCCCGGTACAGCTATTGAAGGCTTCACGAACTACGTGGTCAAAATAGATATTAAATAATGTGGGAGCCAGAGGACATCCCTGTCGCACCCCAAGGTGTACAGGGAATGGCTCTGACTCCCGGCCACGTAGTTTTACCCGGGCCCGCTCACCATCATGAAGGTCCTTAATGATCGTAAGCAGAGGGTCAGGTACTCCAAAAGCACGAAGAACAACCAAGAGCCCAGGCCTATTGATGGTATCATAGGCCTTGACCAGGTCAATAAAGCAAAGATGTAGATCTTGCTGGAATTCCCTACACCTCTGCTGTAGCAGACGGACAGAAAATATGGCATCTGTGCAGGACCGCCCTTTCCTGAAACCGCATTGGGGCTCTGCAAGCCTCTCCTCAGCGTGCCTGGCAAGGCGATGTTGAATAATCCTTGCCAGGACCTTTCCCGGCACACTGAGGAGTGAGATGCCCCTGTAGTTGTTACAGTCTGTGCGGTCCCCCTTCTTAAAAAGGGGGACCACACAGACACACACATACACACACACAGACACACATAAACACACAGACACACACATAAACACACACAGACACACACATAGACAAACACATAAACACACACAGACACACACATAGACACACACATAGACACACACAGACACACACATAAACACACACATAAACACACACAGACACACACATAAACACACACAGACACACACATAAACACACACAGACACACACATAAACACACACACAGACAAACACAAACACACGCTTCTAGACACACACATAACACACAGACACACACATAAACACACACAGACACACACATAAACACACATAAACACACACATAAACACACACAGACACACACATAAACACACACAGACACACACAAACACACACAGACACATGCTTCTAGACACACACGTAACCCACACACACACACAAACACACACAGACACACACATAACACACACGCTTCTAGACACACACACATAACACACAGACACACAAATAACACACACAGACACACACGCTTCTAGACACACACACACAAACAAACACACAAATAACACACACAGACAACACACAAAGACAAACACACACACGCTTCTAGACACATACATCACACACAGACACACACACACCACACACAGACACACACATAACACACACAGACACACACATAACACACAAAGACAAACAGACACACGCTTCTAGACACACACATAACACACACAGACAAACACACACAGACACACGCTTCTAGACACACAAACACAAAGACAAACACACAACACAGACACGCTTCTAGACACACACATAACACACACACACACACGTAACACACACACATAACACAAAGACAACACACAAAGACAAACACACACAACACACACACGCTTCTAGACACACACATAACACACACAGACACACACAGACACGCACAAACACACACACACATATAAACACACACACACATATAAACACACACACATAACACACATAAACACACACACATAACACACATAAACACACACAGACACACACACAGACACACACAACACACACATAACACGCACAGACACACACATAACACACACAGACACACACATAGACACATAACACACACAACACACACACGCTTCTAGACACACACACGCTTCTAGACACACACACAAACACACAGACGCACACAAAGACACACACATCACACACACACACAGGCATACACATAACACGCACACACAAAGACAAACAACAACAACAGAAGCATCTATGCACCACCATCACCACCACCACCACGAACGCAGCAAAACGCGACTCCAGCCGCGACCTCTTTCACCGCTGCACTTTCAGTGTTCGTTTATTTCGCTTTAAGAGCCGCTCGGCTCTTGAATCGGGTGCAACCTCAACAAGAAAACAAATAAAAAATAAAAACATCTTAAAGTGACTACGCGCGACTTTGTGCGAACAGAAAATCACAGCAAAAAATTATCCCTGTGTGTAAAAAAAAATAGATATATTAAATAAAATAAAACAGCCGTTGACATCACCCCCAACGCTTTTGTGCAAAAATCCCAGGGAATTTCGTGGTGGGGGCTTCCGCTCACCGTTGTGGTTGACCCAGGGCGGCTTCAACAGCTTCATCGCGGCGAGAGAGAGAGAGGGGAGAGAGGGGAGAGAGAACGGAGCCCGCCCGTCGCTTGTTGCGGAGTCAAAACACCCAGGCACCCTCCCTCGGGTTCCGGCGGGGCCGAGGCGGCTCTCCCTCGGGCGGGGAATCCAGGCGAGGCCGAGGCTTCCAGAGACGCGGGGAGTTGGTGACTAGGCCACAGCCGACCAACCGTCGCCACTCCCTCGCTCCGGCGGGGCCGAGGCCGCTTTACCTCGGCGGGGTATCTAGGCGAGACCGAGGCTTCTCGACAGGGGGGGGGGGGGGTTGTAGTTGGCGATTAGGCCGCAAATCCACCACCACGGCCGCTCTCTTCGCTCCGGCGGGGCCGAGGCCGCGCTCCCTCGGCGGGGAATCCAGGCGAGGACGGAGGCTTCTCGAGACGCGGGGAGTTGGTGACTAGGCCGCAAATGCACCGCGGCCGTCCTGTGCGCTCTGGCGGGGCCGAGGCCGCTCTCCCTCGGCGGAGAATCCAGGCAAGACCGAGGCTTCACGACAGAGAGGGGGGTGGGGAGAATTGCCGACTAGGCCGCAGATCCACTACCACGGCCGCAGCCGTGCAGACTCCGACGGAAATTACGTCACGAGAGGGGGGTGGAGGGGACAAGTTGGCGGGGGGGGCGGGGTTAATAACTTCCGGCAGTAGTGAGGAAGTGACGTAAGGAGAGGTCTGCACGTGCAGTGTTAGTGCATAGTGGTTAATAACTTCCGGCAGTAGTGAGGAAGTGACGTAAGGAGAGGTCTGCACTTGCAGTGTTAGTGCATGGTGCAGTGTTAGTGCATGGTGCAGTGTTAGTGCGTGGTGCAGTGTTAGTGCGTGGTGCAGTGTTAGTGCATGGTGCAGTGTTAGTGCATGGTGCAGTGTTAGTGCAATGTTAGTGCAGTGTTAGTGTGTAGTGTTAGTGCAGTGTTAGTGCATAGTGCAGTGTTAGTGCAATGTTAGTGTTAGTGCAGTGTTAGTGTGTAGTGTTAGTGCAGTGTTAGTGCAGTGTTAGTGCAATGTTAGTGTTAGTGCAGTGTTAGTGCAGTGTTAGTGTGTAGTGTTAGTGCAGTGTTAGTGCATAGTGCAGTGTTAGTGCAATGTTAGTGCAGTGTTAGTGTGTAGTGTTAGTGCAGTGTTAGTGCAGTGTTAGTGCAATGTTAGTGTTAGTGCAGTGTTAGTGTTAGTGCAGTGTTAGTGTATAGTGCAGTGTTAGTGCAGTGTTAGTGCAGTGTTAGTGCGTGGTGCAGTGTTAGTGCAGTGTTAGTGCAATGTTAGTGTTAGTGCAGTGTTAGTGTATAGTGCAGTGTTAGTGCAGTGTTAGTGTATAGTGCAGTGTTAGCGCAGTATTAGTGTATAGTGCAGTGTTAGTGCAGTGTTAGTGCAGTGTTAGTGTTGGTGCAGTGTTAGTGTGTAGTGTTAGTGCAGTGTTAGTGCAGTGTTAGTGTATGGTGCAGTGTATAGTGCAGTGTTAGTGCAATGTTAGTGTTAGTGCAGTGTATCGTGCAGTGTTAGTGCAGTGTTAGTGTTAGTGCAGTGTTAGTGTGTAGTGTTAGTGCAGTGTTAGTGTATAGTGCAGTGTTAGTGCAGTGTTAGTGCACCTGAAATGAGTTAAATGATGATAACGTCACCCTGCTACTTTATTTAAGACCGGGGAGCCAAGTGGAGAGGGCCTCCAAATTCTGGCGAATTGCCCGATGATGATGCTGGGGATGTAATTGCCAGCGAAACGTCACGGCACAAACTCAAGCTGTGAATGTTGCGGAGGCTGTTCGGAAGCTGGGCGAGAGGAGCAGAGCTAGCCCCTTGACAAAGGAGTTTACATATCAGCAGAGTGATTTGGTTTAACACGTTAAGGGCTTGTAATTGCCAGCGAAACGTCACGGCACTAACTCAAGCTGCGAATGTTGTGGAGGCTGTTCGGAAGCTGGGCGAGAGGAGCAGAGCTAGCCCCTTGACAAAGGAGTTTACATATCAGCAGAGTGATTTGGTTCAACACGTTAAGGGCTTGTAATTGCCAGCGAGTTCGTCACGGCACTAACTCAAGCTGTGAATGTTGCGGATTCGCTCTTCAACAACAACAACAACACAGCGGTGGTGGGGCTAAAGCAGTGAACTATTTTGTGTTTTGTCAACGTGACACTTTTTTTGCCGATTGGCCGTGTCGGGTGGTGGAGGGTTACGACACATTTATAATTAACGCGATCTAACTCCACAAAAACCTTCATCATGAATCATATCGGTCGCGACAGCCTGCGACGTGTTAAACAGAGGCTGTCCGGAAAGACGGAGCTAGCGATGAATACCGCTCCACGCTTGGCCAGCGTCTTTTCAGCTCCACACCCAGCCCCACCCAGCCCCACCCCACCCAGCCCCACCCCACCCAGCCCCACCCAGCCCCTCCCAGCCCCACCCAGCCCCACTGCAACCCCACCCAGCCCCTCCCCACCCAGCCCCTCCCCACCCAACCCCACCCAGCCCCACCCCACCCAGCCCCACCCCCCACCCAGCCCCACCCAGCCCCACCCCATCCACCCCATCCACCCCACCCAGCCCCACCCAGCCCCACCCCACCCAGCCCCACCCCCCACCCAGCCCCACCCAGCCCCACCCAACCCCACCCAGCCCCACCCCACCCAGCCCCACCCCACCCAGCCCCACCCCCCACCCAGCCCCACCCCATCCACCCCATCCACCCCACCCAGCCCCACCCCACCCAGCCCCACCCCACCCAGCCCCACCCCCACCCAGCCCCACCCCCACCCAGCCCCACCCCTTACGTTACACGACACGACACGGTCCCGTTTCTAAATCGTTTCTGCAGCACCCGCCGGCTGATATTGTGCCCAATTGTTACAAAACTAACCTTGTGCCCAATTGTTACAAAACTAACCTTGTGCATACGTTGTGTTATTAAGGGTGGGGGGATATTTATATCGGTTGTTGTTCTTGTTCGCGAGGTACACGCGCGCATTGCTGTGGTGTTCCCATTGTTACAGCCGGGACGGCTGGGGCTTCCGAAGGATGGTAGGTAGGGAGGGGGGGGGGGTGATGTAGTGACGATAGCTACGCGCTATTCAGCGGTAACCTGCAGTGCGACTACATACCTACGTTGAGGTGCAGCTGACGACGCTGACGCGGTTCTTTAGTCAGTGCTGATGCCGAGGTTTATTAAGAAACCTGGCTGCAGGAATGACTCCTTGGGGGGTTTTTTTTTCCCGGTAAAGGCACTTAGAGATAACAAAACAATACAATTACATGATGGCTACATATTCTTAGTTTTTTTCGGTAAAGCCACGTTGAAGGGAAACAACAAAATAATAAAATATATATAAAACAATAAAAAAAATTCTCACGACGTTTCGACCATAACTCAAACGGTCATCTTCAGGTGTGTTGGTTTGCATAAATTTATTTTTAAACGTCGCATTTATTTATTTATAAAAAACGTTAGCGCCACGCGCAACGATTTGGCAGTTTATTTAGGACTAGTCCATCTATATTCTGAAAAGAGGAGGGGGGAGACGAATGTTTTTATAATGTATGCTATCTGAAAGCCACTGTAAGCGTGAACAATCAATTAAGACCTGAAATGGTTTATCAAATCTTTCCAATGATTGCTAAGCCAGAATCCATCTTCTTTTATTGTTTTATATATATTTTATTATTTTCTTGTTTCCCTTCAACGTGGCTTTACCGAAAAAAACTAAGAATGTGAATTACTGCAGTCACGAAAGCTTTAAATCAAAATATGATGGCTACATTTGGCTCTTCTGTGCTTGATGATGATGATGATTGCTCGTGTTGCAACCGAAACGCCGTACGCTATCGTGCAATTTTATCATTCCTCATTTCCACGTGGCCTTACCGGAATAAAAAACAAAGAGTCAGGTTCATTAAGGGCTACTGCCGGTAACCTATCAAAGGCTCGCGACTAACCGGTGACAACCCCAATATCTCTACTCTTTGGTTCTATTCGGTAAAAGTCGCGTGGGAAACTTCTTTTTGACTTCACCGAATGGAACCAAAGAGTACGGATCCTTGCAGTCACGCAAGCTTCAAATCTAGAACCCGAATATCTCCCCAGGGGCAAAGGGTACTGGGGGGGTCCCTAGCCCCGCCCCGGCTAGATGTGATCTCCCCAGGCACCGATCGAGGGATCATCCAACTCGGCCGGCCAGGTGAAGCAGTCACCCTCGCCTGGAGCCGAGTGCCCCGACCCTTGACCCCGACTCCCCCAACGCGACCCCTCCCCCCCCTCCCCTTATATATCCCTCGCAACCTCTGACGTCATCCCTTGTCGCCCTCCCACCCCCCCGAGTGACATGACGCCCTCCGCTACCGCTCTACACACACACATATGTAGAGTAGTAGTAGGTAGTGACGTCTTGTGACGCTCGCCCTCCCGGTACGATGACGTCACGTACGGTGACGTCATGGGCAGGGGGCGGGACGGTGACATCATGTCCCCCCCGGGGATATTTAGGTTGAGAATTTTGTTATTTTATTTTATTAATGTGTTACTTTATTCTCACTTTACGTGGTGGTGACTTTGCCGAAAGAACCAAAGAAGATGAATCCTTGCAGTCACGAAAGCTCTAAATCGAAATAATATCTTTCGGCAGGCCGTAGTGGGTGGGTGGGTGGCACGGGCTGGAGAAGAGACGGGGCTGACGGGTGAGTGGGTGGGTGGCACGGGCTGAGAAGAGAAGGGACTAATGGGTAAGTGGGTGGGTGGCACGGGCTAGGGAGAAGAGATGGGCTGATGGGTGAGTGGGTGGGTGGCACGGGCTGGAGAAGAGAAGGGGCTGATGGGTGAGTGGTGGGTGGGTGGCACGGGCTGGAGAAGAGACGGGGCTGACGGCTAAGTGGTGGATGGGTGGCACGGGCTGGATAAGAGATGGGGCTGACGGGTGAGTGGGTGGGTGGCACGGGCTGGAGAAGAGAAGGGGCTGACGGGTGAGTGGGTGGCACGGGCTGGAGAAGAGACGGGGCTGACGGGTGAGTGGGTGGGTGGCACTGGCTGGAAAAGACACGGGGCTAACGGTTAAGTGGTGGGTGGGTGGCACGGGCTGTAGAAGAGACGGGGCTGACGGGTGAGTGGGTGGGTGGCACGGGGTGGAGAAGAGACGGGGCTGACGGGTGAGTTGGTGGGTGGCACGGGCTGGAGAAGAGACGGGGCTGACGGGTGAGTGGGTGGGTGGCACGGGCTGTAGAAGAGAAGGGGCTGACGGGTGAGTGGGTGGGTGGCATGGGTTGGAGAAGAGAAGGGGCTGACGGGTAAGTGGTGGGGGGCACGGGCTGCAGAAGAGACGGGCTGATGGGTGAGTGGTGGGTGGGTGGTACAGGCTGGAGAGATGGGCTGACGGGTCAGTGGGTGGCACGGGCTGGAGAAGAGACGGGCTTATGGGTGAGTGGTGGGTGAGTGGCTCGGGCTGGAGAAGAGAAAGGGCTGACGGGTGAGCGGGTGGGTGGCACGGGCTGGAGAAGAGACGGGGCTGATGGGTGAGTGGGTGGGTGGCACGGGCTGAAGAGACGGGCCTGACAGGTGAGTGGGTGGGTGGCACGGGCTGGAGAAGAGACGGGCTGACGGGTGAGTGGTGGGTGGATGGCACGGGCTGGAGAAGAGACGGGGCTGA